TATTGAAGAGAGATCTGTCATTATATCATGAACTCTTAAAAAAACCCAAATATTGACCATTGGCCAACAGTAAATACCTTGTACTTTGTCTAATTAAAAATAAGAACTAACTGAAAAATTAGCAACGTTAAAAATTAGAGACGAAAAATGCTAGCCCCATTTGCCTGACATTACCAATGACTGCTGAGTAGTGACCAGGCAAGAGCATAGAGAGCTGCAATCTTCTACAATACACTGGTCTCCACCGTGGTAAAGATGGATGCTTACTTCCTAGTTAGGTCTTATTTTCAGGGAAACTTGGTCAATGGAATAAATTTACTTGTAGTAATTATAAAACCATATTAAATAGCAATAGGATGATGTTAATTAGATATCCAAAGATTCACAAATTTAGTAGTTATAATAAAACATGTAGAAGGAGTGAAAAATCAGAGAATAGAAAAGCAAAATTTGGGAAATTATTCAATGAAAAAAGAGAAAATTATATAGGGGACTAATGAGGAGTAAGAGGAAATTAATATTGTTCAAGAATATTACACAGATTTGCAGAGAAACAATAAAGAAAAAATGAAGAAAAAGGAAACAGGGAGCAAAATACAGTAAATAAAAGGAAAATAAGAAGAAAGAAGAGAATAAGTTGAAAGGGGAACAAGAGAGACAACAAAATAAAGTAAATAAGGAAAGGGGGCGAAAACCAAAACCCAGAAAAACCTGATGAAAAAAGAGAATAATAATGAAAAACAGAAAATTCATGAAAATTCCAATCAAAAAAAAATTCCCTTTTTCCTTGAATTAATGACTTCTTTCTAAATTCTAAAGTCTTGTAATCCAAGCCCCCATGATTTCTCCCTGGTTGCTTTGCAGTCTGTGGGTTTGTGAGGTGATCTTCCTGCACAGTGACTGTAGTCACTGTCCAAGCCAAAGTGTGTTCTTGCTCCTGGTAGTAGATGGGAAGCAAGGTTGCTCCTCTTGTCTCTGCTGCATGTAGTCTGTAAGTGCTAGGGTTCTAACGTTGGACTCACTGTCTACAACCTCTAGGTCTGCTTGGTCCATTCTGTTCTGGGCATTGTTCTTGTGCAGGATCACGTTGTTTGGATACACTTTGATTCTGCTGGAGCCTTCTTGGAATGGGTGGATGCTCTTGGCCTTGTGGTGGGTGTGAGGGGCAGGTGGCTTCCTGTGCAATTCTGTTTCCAGCATTGAGAGAGGAGCACAGTGGCTGTGGGGAGGAGTACCATGGATCCACTGCAGATTGGGCTGTTTATGTACTGCTATCATTGAGATGGGTGCTGTGGGAGGACATCAGTATTCCCCACTCTGACACATATTCTGAATGCTCCTATTCGTGTTCCCTTGTTGAAATACCTGAGCCTTTCTCTATACTATCCTATATGCCAGATTTTCTTCATATACTCAGTAAAGATTTTCCTCTTTTTATTAAAAAGTTCACAACTCTCTTTCTTTTTCTTTTTATTCGTTATTTTTTAATTTTTAAAGAGGAAAAACCCAAAGTAACAATTAATTAAAAACCACAAAAAAATAAAAACAATACAGAATTTCAAGACAAGATGATAGGCAATTAACAATGGTGGTTATATTACAGATTGTTACCTTCAATGAATTTGTTCAGATTAGCAGATGTAAGAATGCAAGATTGATCAAACAATTAAAGACAGTAAAAAGTATTTAATGAAACATTGGAAACAACACAGAGCTTCACTAAACATGATGGTAGGAATTCAATAATAGTTATTATATTGCATATTGTTGTCTTAAAGTTACTTGTCCCTATTACCAGATAGAAGTATGCAAAATTGCTCAAAATATACAAGCATTAACTGTTACTTTCAATAAATCAATAGACATCAGTAGTACAATTATTCCAACTGTCCTTGTATATACATGTATATTTTTTCCTTCCTTCTTTCTTTCTTTCTTCTTTCCTTCAATGCTGTTGTTACTTCCCTTTGGGCAAATTTTTTCCCTTTCATAATCTCTAGTGTACCTTTCAGGTTTTATTTAGAATTGCATACATTTACTATAAAAGCAACTAGTTTATCTTTTTCTTAAAGCTGTGTAATACTCCATTGGATAAACACACCACATCATTTTTATCCATTCCTTTGTTGATGGACATTTGGGTTTTTTCCAAGATTTAGCTAAGACAAATTGCGCTGCTGTAAACATGGGAGCACGTACATCGCTGCGGTATGATGTTATCAGTTTTTCTGGACAAATACCCAAAAGGGGAATATCTGGGTTAAGTGGGACCTCTAATCTTAGTTTTGTGAGGAATATCCCCACTGACTTCCACCAGCAGTAGATATGGGTTTCTGTTTCCCCAGAGCCCCTCCAGCATTTGTTATTGGTAGACATCTTGATGACAGCAATTGTTTCTGAGGTGAGATAGAATCTCAGTGTTGTAATTTGCATTTCTCAAACAACCAATGATGTTGAACATTTTTTCATATATTTATTTGCTATATGTATTTTTCATCTGAGAAGTGTATATTCATCTCAGATGCCCATTTTTGGATTGGGTCTTTGAATACTGTGGGGCAATTTTTGAAATTCTTCATATATCTACATAGACATTCTTTGTCTGAGGACCAGTTGACTCAAATTTTCCCAATTCATGGGTTTTCTATTTACCCTGTTGGTGATTTCTTTTGATGTATAAAAACTTTTCAATAAAGTGAAATTCCAATTGTTGATTCTTTGAAGTATTTTCGGTGCAGTTTGGATTTTGTGAGTGAACTCTCTGCTTATCCCTATGCCTTTAAGATTTCTACCTACTTTGTCTTCCAGTAGATTTAGAGTTTCTGTTTTAATACTTACATCTTTGATCCAATTTGACTTTAGTTTAGTGCATGGTAATAGACATGGGTCTAGCTTTAGTCTTTGGTATGGAGAGAACTAATTTTTCCAGAACCATTTATTAAAGAGGCTATCTTTCTTCTAGTGAACGTGTTTGGCCCCTTTGTCAAAGATAAGGTGGCTGAGTTTGTTTGTGCTTGTCTTTGCATCTTTTAGCCTGTTTCATTGATCTTCAGGTCTGTTTGATTGCCAATACCATGATGATTTTATCACAGTAACTTTGTGGTATAATTTCAAGTTAGGAACTTGATGCTTCCTTCCTCCCAGGATTATTTTTGCTATTCTAAGCTCTTCTGGTTCCAGATGAATTTTAGAAATGTTTTCCCTAGATCTGTGAGATATATTAATGATATTTTAATTGAGATTGTATTAAATCTGTGCAACCGTTTTGTGAGTATGGCCATTTTCAAAATGTTAGTTATTTCTATCCATGAGTAACGAATACATTTCCATTTTCTGAGAACCTGTTTGATGTCTTTTTCCAGAGTACTGTAATTTTCACATTATACATCTTTTACTTGCTTTGTTAGATTGAATCATATGTATTTCATTTTTGTATGCAATTTCTCAGTATGTTTGTTGTTTGTGCACAGAATGGCTATTGATTTTTTAATGCTTACTTGGTATCCAGCTACACTACTGAATTTGCTTAATAACCTAACTTGTATACTTTATAGAAAGCTTTTTGAACACTGATCTGATTCACATGCTTTACACAAGTGTATATGATTTTGGATAATACTTGGGGTGGTTACAATATCAAAGAATAGATAAATCCTGCAACCCTGTTCTAAGGGAAAATATCATAGGCATCAGCCACTAATAAGGCCACACAGCCCACTAGTCGTTCAGTGCCTGTGGTGGCTCTTCTCAGGCTTCCTGTGCTCCTTTATGTGTCCTGAGGGGACAGTACTCTGTCCCTCACCAAAGAGAGTCCTTGAGAAACACATGTGAAAGTACCCAAATGGACAGCAGCTCTCCAAATCTCCAGGCTGATGAAATCTCAGTGCTTTTCATCACAGAGGTCTCAGCTCGTACTTTGTTCTGTGCCAAGGCCACAGAGGGGAAAAAAAACCTGAAAAAATCTAAAGGATATGGTGTTTAAACACAGGGCAGATGCTGTGTGAGAGCCTGTAACAGAGCCTCGAGATGTCTTCTCTTCTCTGTTACCCCACTGAATCCAGTACACTGCAGTCCACAGTTGTGCTGAAAAGTAGAATTAAATGGGTACTTAACCAACAGGAATGCGGTTCTCAAGATCAAACATAAAGGACATAGAATGTGAGTATACCTGGGGGACATTTCCTGTATTTCTCTGGATAGGAGATGATGGACCAATCACTGCAAAGAAGTGCTGTTTTAATGGAAAAATATCCCAATATCCACCAGGAACTCATATAGTATGTAGCATGAATAACTGGTTCTAAAAAGGAGAAAAATAATAAAAATATATGTAAGTTCCATTGAACATGTTTATATTATAATAATTTGTTTAGAATTTATCGGTTACTTTTTAGATTTTATATAGCAGAAGAATGTGGAATTCTCCTTTTGCTGAAAGTAGAATAAAGAAACATAATCTGTTTAAGAAGCTGGTGAAATCGACATGCCTCTTTTTCTATACTCTGGTCATATGTTTTCCAAGCACTGAATTATCCTTTTTCCTTAAATATACTAAAAGAACCACAGTGTGTCTGCAAGGAGAGCCATTTGTACCTTTGGTCTTATGTAAATAACATAGATTTTAATATTGTGTAGAGAAATAGCCCTTAACCTACACACGGTACGTACCTACATGCTGTGTGTGTCAGCTTGATCTTTACAGTCAACATTCCTGGGTTCAAACCACACCACCACCTACCATGCATGAAAGGATGGGGAAAATACTTAATTTTATATTTGTAAAATGTAGATGATTAGAATATGAATATTGGAGAATTCTTTTGAAAATCAAGAGAATTAATTTCCATAAAGTGCTTAGACAAATGCCAACCATGATTTTTACACTTATTAATTTGTAATACTAATCATTAAATGAAAGAATAAAAATTCTCCATTATTAACTTCTAGGTCATGTACCATCATCTGGTGATTTGTTCCTTCCAGATCATGGAAGATGAGGAATGGATAAGGTAAACCAAACCACAGTGACAAAATTTATTTTCCTGGGATTCTCAGGCTCTCCCTCTGTGCAGCTCATTCTTTTTGTGATGTTCCTCACTGTGTACCTGCTCTCCCTCATGGGAAACACGCTCATCATCTTCATCGTTCTCATGGACTCTACGCTCCAGAAACCCATGTACATCTTCTTAGGGAATCTCTCCTTCTTAGAGATCTGGTACACCACAGTGACAGTGCCTAAGTTGCTGGTCACCTGCCTCTCCAAAGGTGTCACCATCTCTGTGCATGGATGTATTGCTCAGTTCTACTTCTTCTTCTCTTTGGGAGCTACAGAGTGCATCGTGCTAGCTGTGATGGCCTATGATCGGTACATAGCGATTTGCAGCCCTCTGCGCTACTCACTTCTCATGAATGTTCAGATCTGTCTGAAGTTTTCAGCTGGGTCCTGGATTGCGGGTTTCATTGCTCCTATTTTCCCCACCATACTCATCTCTCGCCTAAGATTTTGTGGTCCCCAGAAGATCAACCATTTCTTCTGTGACTCAGACCCCATTTTCAAACTCTCCTGCTCAGATACCTTCTTTTCTGAAGCCCTGAGTTACACAATTAGCTCTGCTGTGATTCTAAGTTCTTTCCTTCTTACTGTCTCCTCTTATGGCAATATTGTGGCCACAGTAGTCAGGCTGTCGTCCCGAGAAGCTCGGAAGAAAACTTTCTCCACCTTTGCCTCCCACCTCTCTGTAGTCTCCATCTACTATGGCACCATTACCTTTGCCTACGTCCGGCCTCCGGCCAAGTACAACTTCACCATTGGTAAAGTGGTCTCCGTGTTCTACTGTGTGGTCACCCCCCTGGTAAATCCTCTCATATACACCCTGAGGAACCAGGAGGTGAAGAAAGCTTTCAGGAAATTTTTAGTACAAAAGGCATTTTTCTTCACTGGAGTGATTGAGAAGTTTTATGTTACATGTGAATTTGAATAATATAATTTTTTTTAGTAGAATTTTAATTGCAAATGGTAAGTATTGAAATCATATCATAAAATTAGTCCCATTTTACATTGTAAATTTTTTGTAATTTAAGTTTTGCTTTCAATGCTATAAAAGTGCTATCCTATACTTTGTGTGTAAATGCTTTCATACAATATCACAATGAGAGGAAGATTATTGACATGAGATTTCTGCTCACAGGGCATTCAAAGAGGCAAAAACTTGTTTTGTCTTACCCATTTCAGTTAAATATTTTCATATCTAGGATAGTAAGAGAAAATATGAACCAAAAAACTTAATAAGTAGAATGTGTTCATGTAAACATTATATGTAAACATTACATTTAGATTTCCAAATACATTCATTCAGTAAATATGGAGCATATGTTATGAACCAAACCCTACAATCAATCACTGAGGATTATTTTGTTATTCATACAAACATGTCTAGTTATACTAAAATGATAAACATTCAGGATTTTTAGATATTATAAATAAGTAACTGAATTTTTAAATATTTTCAAGGACACCATCATAGAAAAATGAAGAATGAAAAATCTGAGAGATAAATGGTATATAAATGGTATATTAAATGTGCAAAAGTGTTAACTCTTAAATTCCTACAAAAAATCCGGAGACATGTAATCCAGCAAAAGAAAATTTGATTCTAAAGGAAAGGCAAAATAAAAAACAAAGAATTACTGCATTTGCTGTGTGTCACTCTCATGTGTATATGAAAATGTTTTACAATTTCTATTCATTTAATGTATGGCTTACACAGAGCTGGGAATTTTTCAGGGAGACTAAGCTCCACTCATGCTTGCTCTTGCTTCAGGGCATGGCTAGAGGAAGAGCAGAATCAGCATCGTGTGGAAGAAGGAAAATCCCATTCCGGACTCTGAGGGAGATCCTTCACTCTGAGACCGTCTCGAGCTGACTTGCTCAGCAAATCAAACCCAGACAGCCACTCTTTGAGACAGCTAAGGCTTTTATACAAGAGTTATGTAATGATAAAAGAATTTTTTTTTTCTGGTACCGGGAGTCGAACTCACGGCCTTGTGCTTGCCAGGCAGGCGCTGTGCCACTGAGCTAAATCCCCAGCCCCATGATAAAAGAATTAATAAAATCAACAGTTTGCTACAAATCCCAAAGTTAAATTTTTTTCTTAGTTTAAACTTCAGGATGTGATTTTCTGAATACATAATAAAATATTTTCAGACAGCTCAGGTAATTTCTATTTGGGGAGTGTTTCCTAATGATTTTTAACATTTAGTAGTGCCTATTATAAATACAAAGTAATTTGGCTGTGGTTCAACATCTCGGTACCTACATATTCTCTGAGTATTCTCACTTCCACATGAGCACTGCCCCATCCCTCTCCTCTTTCTCTGGCCCCTTCCTCATATCTGTTAATATTTTTCTCCTTCCCTGAGACCACTTCCCTTTTATTGATTTCACCTTGTACATATAACAGAAGCTATGGTTGATTTCACTTTGTTTGGGATTTGACTTACTTTGCTAACATGATATTCTTTGGATTCATCCATTTTCTTGTAAATGAGGCAATTTATTCCTTTGTGTCCATAAAAATATTTTTGCTCATCCATTCTCAGTGATGGCAAATCTTTTAGAGAGGTGTGCCCAAACTGCAACACCAAACCCAGTTTATTATGGCAAAGTGCCAACAATGCAACTCAACCTGAGTACTGAGGTTTTAGTCTAGAGTGAACCATCTTTATCTGATGCTCAGCAGCTGGGGTGACTTGGCTCTGTGTGCCCACTGCAACACCCATGTCATAGTAAATTCTAGGCTATTTCCACAGGATAGCGTCTCTCTCACTGCAATAGACATGGGCTCACACGTATTGCTCTTGTATGCGGCTTTAACTCTTTACACCACACTGAGAAGTAGTACTGCTCAGCCCATTTGTAGCATTATTTTAATTTTTTATGAATCTCCCTGCTGATTTCCACAGTGACTGTTCTAGTTCCCATTTTCACCAACATGTAACTTTTCTATTTGCATGCACCCTCCCCAGTATTTATTACTCTTTATAATTTTGATAATAACTGTTCTGACTGCTGTGAGAAGGAAACTGTGCAACTTTGATTCGCGTTTTCCTTAAGGTTAAATATTTCATAAAATTTTCATGGAACTATTGGCCACTTGTTCTTCTTTGATGACTTCTGTCCAGTTAATTCGCCCACTTATTGAATGGATATCTCTTGTCTTGTTTTCTTGAGTTCTGTGCATACTGTAGATATTAATCGTCTGGCAGAACTGTAGCTGGCAAATATTTCCTTCATAGCAACTATAGTAAAAATAACTTGTCCTTCTAAATGTGAACCTTAGTATATGCAATGTTAACAGTTTTCCAGCTCTTAATTTTCCAGAAGAATATCAGGTTATATGCAAACTTTCCCCAAAATAATGAAGCCTTGCCTATCAGTCTTAGCTAACTTTTAAGAAAATCCTAACCTAAGATAGATTCCTTTTCCCATTAATGAGATGATTTTTTAAAAATCCAAATCCTTCTATATAACATACTTAATTATACCTTGGCTTATACACATTAACATACACCTAATCCTGCCTCACTCTGAACTCATTCCGACCTTCTAAATATTGCCCTATTTGCTAGGCCAGATCGAGAGGTATGGATGGTCTCGTAGGGTATATAAGGGCCAGAGTGTGTCTCTTGCCTCAGTTATGGTGAAGCACTCTTGTCTCACCCATTTCTATTTTTGTTTTATCACTAGTTTTCAAGTTTTGTTTTGAAACTCCAGATATTACTTTCAAATATTTTATTTTGGAAACTCTTATACATTACCTTCAAAACCTGAAATAAATGTGGCTTCTCTGGAAAAAAGATAATTGTGGTAATAATCACATTTGCAGATGGGATGAATTGAAGCACTTTATCACATAGTTTCAGAAAATATGTTAATTGAGATCATCATAAGATAGAGTAACAGCATCAAGCAAAATGCAAGCCTGAGTCCACCTATAAAAATCCCAAAGGAAAAGTATGCAAAGAAATTTAACTTACATAGAGTTATATTTTAATTTTAAATCCAGAAATACGACTGGAAAATATTCAGGAAGTGTAGCTAAGGAACATTTTACAAAGAAGACATTTGTGTATAGGTGACATTCTATTTTTTTTTTTTTTTAGTTTAAAAATAAAAGGAGGAGGGGCTGGGGATTTAGCTCAGCGGCAAAGTGCCTGCCTGGCAAGCGCAAGGTCGTGAGTTCGGTTCCTGGTACCGGAGAAAAACCAAAACCAAAAAAATAAAAAATAAAAAATAAAAGGAGGAAAACATTAACAGACAGACAACCTTTTACAAAATAGCAAAAGAATAGTACAGACAATACAGAGTTACAAAGTGGTAGGAAATTAACAATGCTTGTTGTATTACATATTGATATCTTCAAAGTGGTTTCTCATGAAAACAAATAGAGACATGCAATATTGATCAATCAAGGACTCAATGACAGTTTCTTTCAGCAAAGAAATAGAAGACAGTAGAACAACTATGTTAACTACCCTGTATATACATACATTCAAAGTTTCTTCTTTCCATTCTTTTTTCCCACATCCCAGCTGCCCTTTACCCTTGAGTGTTTTCCTATCATTTCACAATGTGTATCATATCTCCTAGTTTAAATTAACTCTTTCAGGTTTTACACTAGTGAGACAATGCGGTGCTTGCACATGCAGGTCTGATTTATTTCACTTCTGAGTATGGTCTCTAGTTGTGACCATTTACCTATAAAGGCCTTGAGTTTATCTTTCTTTATAGCTGAGTAATATTCCATTGTATAATAGTACCACAATTTTCTTATCCAGTCCTCGGTGGTTGGACATTTGGGTTGCTTCCACAATTTAGCAGTTACAAATTGTGCTGCTGTGAACATAGGTCCACATATATCACTGTGATATGATGATTTTAGATCTGGGAAAACACCCAGAAGGGGAATAGCTGGGTTGAATGGGTCCTCTAGACCCAGTTTTCTGAGGAATCTCCAAACTGATTTCCACAGTGGTTTCACCAGTCTGCATTCCCATCAGCAGTGGACAACAGTTCCTATTTCTCCACAGCCTCACCAGCATTTGTTATTGGTTGATTTCTTAATGCTAGCCATTCTTAGTGGGGTAAGGTGGAATCTCAATGTTGTTTTAATTTGCATTTCTCAAATGGCTAATGATGTTGAACATTTTCTCATGTATTTATTTGCCACTTGTATTTCTTTATCTGAGAAGTGTGTATTCATCTCCGCTGCCCATTTTTGGATTGGGTCTTTGAATTTGGGGGGAGCTGGTGTTTTTTAATTCTTTATATGTTCTAGATAGAAGCCCTTTGTCTGAGGGACAGTCAGGTAAAATTTTTTCCAAGTTTGTGGGTTTTCATAGAAGAACAAAGGCAAGGGACAGAAGACATTCTAAATGTTAATAAATTTATAAGCATATTTACACCAGCTGGAATGTTAATGTATATAAAGGTAACTTTTCTGAATTTTTTAAGTGGGTTTCCCATTTAATAATTAATTTTAAATATTTTGTTTGCTTTTAGGTTATCATGTAGTGTCAACTGGCTAAAAAAAGTTATTAGATTCATACTTTGGATAATAAATTTTACTCATATCTTTCTTTGAAACACTGCAGACCTGAAGTTTCATACCAATCATCTTTCCATATCAGTGATTGTTACACTGAAGCTTGAATTGTGGAACATACTGAATAGAAAAGTGAACTCAGTTTTATCCTATGAACTTTAAGTGAAAAGTGCTGTTATGATTAGTATTTAAGCAAGAAAGCATGACAATTTAGAATTATGTTTCCTGCCTTCTTCTCTCTCACAGTCATAAGCAACCCATCAAAAGCCATTATTATTGCTACTAAATTGTTTTCTAACCCATCAAAGTATTTTATCTCTATATCAGCATCAACATCTGACCCATCTTCATCCCGGCCCTGTCACTTCTTCTCCAGA